GCACCTAGGATCGTTTCTCATTTTTCAATGAAATGGCAAAACAATATGTTGGTAAGAGTGAATGCCAAACCTTTAGAAAGCTAAAGCAACAAGGAACGTTTCTGTTTGTTTCATGAAGTGGTATAAAAGAAAGTCAATTTTCTTAATTCTATATGCTACTTTAAACATGACATGTTGTGAATTAAAAGGAAACAAAGTAGCTAGATTGGATTGCATTTTCTTGTTATTCACTTGTGTTTGATGTAAAGAATTTATAAGAATGTTGAGATTTGACATTAGATTGGATATGTCACGATTTACTTATGTAAGCTTTTAAAATAATTGCAAGTTCACGATTGACAATAAGTTTACGCCTGCATTTTAGTGTACTTCTTTTAGATGTATGAAACATAGATAACAAACACGAAGATATCAAAACAGATCCTGTTAGTTATATTTTATAAGGAAGAAAACATCTATCTCAGTTGTGTCTGCTTATGGTTTCCTTGCAAATCCAATGAAGTTTTTTACTTAATATGATTTTGAAAATGCAAGAAATAGAAACACGGAATACGCTACTGTTGTGAAATTTTATTTTTAGAGTGCAGCCAAACAGCGTATCAAAACAATTTTGGCGTTGTCCCGTTGCTTCAAAATTTTCGACAATAATGTTTTTAGGATATGTTTGCGGAAGAATTATATTTACTAAAGATAAATATTGCAATAATTATCGACAGTTGATCAAATCTTTTTCAAATAAAAGCATACATTAATAATAATAAAATTTTAATTTTTTTTAAAACCAATTAAAATCAATTATAGAAATTATTTAAATATTGTGTTTTGTCACAGTAATTTGTTGAGCTTATCAAAATGCTGTAATTTCTACATGGAATTGAAATTTGACCTCTGACTGAAAGTTCTCTAATTCAAACACCTGACACCCTTTTCAGAATTGTATATTACACGTTCAGGCCACGAGTACTCACTTACTTACGGACCATACGGTACTGATGTTTCGAACTATACGGTACTGATGTTTCGAACCATACGGTACTGATGTTTCGAACCATACGGTGCTGATGTTTCCAACCATACGGTACTGATATTTCCAACCATACGGTACTGATTTGTATGATATCATGAATGTCGCGTCAATAGTTTCATATTTAAATGTTGAATTTGTCTTGGGACTCGATGCTAGTGTATGTGGATAGAGGCTTGTGCTTTCAGATCGGTCCTGCAACGTCAAGGTCATATTAAAGATATACTATGCTGATCCTTGAGATAAATATTTAATTGCAGAAATTTATTGAAATCGTTGACATTCTTACTGAATTTGTTTAATTTGAAATTTGAAAAGAATTAATAACTGTGTATGGAACCTGGTTCCCTGTTACAGGTCAAGTCAAGTTGTTCTTTTCAGAAAAAAAACTGCCAGTTTTTAAGGACACTACACGTATATTTATATTGTGACCACCTTAAGTGTGCTGAATTTTAAACATAACATATATACTTTGTGTGAAATTAAAACTAGTTTATTCTATATTTATAAAGAGACTGTGTAGCAATTATCAATATTTTCTAACATCAAATTTGAGCAAAGTATATCTTTAATAAAAAATCGAGATAGGCGAACCCCACATGTATCTGTTAATTTTTCTTAAATTTGTTATTGTATTCTAAAAACATTTAAATTTTAATTAATTTAAGTTATTTTCTATGTCTTAAATAATCTGTAGCAAAAGTCTTTAATTGAAAAGGCAAAACACTTAACGAATCCAATATCGTGATATGAAAAAGGAAGGTACTTGATCCTAATTCACTATCTCTCGTGAACAGACTCAATAAAACCAAGTCTGAAATCGTCTACCATTTTTTTAGTTTTTCCTTGCTCTGTTGTCAAAAAATTTATTTCCATCAAATTAGCTTGATTTGTGTCTTTTAATTATAATTTTTTAATATATGATAATAATGTCAAAAAGTGCAGCTTTTACTGACCTCAAGAATTATTATTATATATTTATTTATTTTTGCTATTGTTATTTTTGTCGCAGGGTGAGAAATTACGTGCTGTTTTAAATATATAAATAATTGAATACATCAGACATGCCTTTTTTAATACTACTTATCGCAACAATTGTTAAAACAATCCATAAACCTTTCTGCCGGATTATCCATCCCAAACTCTTCGAAACTAATTACATAATGAATCGGATTCTGTCTAACCTTTTGTTATATTCCTGGATGTAGTGGGTAGAGTGTGTTGAATATCACAAATTAGTGTTGTTACACCTTCAGTTCGATTAAATATTAGGAACTTAAAACTATTATTTTTGGAACGTTGTTTTTGTGTGCAAGTTGGCAATCATGTGTAGCCGTGTTGGAAAACAAAATAAAAAGACCAATGAAACTTTAAAAGACTTTTAATATAATTCCCCAATTACTTAGAAACACAACATGGTGGAGAATCTAAATTGACACATTTAATAACTTTGAAAATCTATTTTTTATAAATTTGAGGGACATTTCCCGCGCTAAAATGCGACAAGAATTCCAATTATAATGTAGTTACAAACATAACATCGATGTATTGTTTGACAAATTTGTATTGGTAATGTGCCGTGATATTCCTTTTTTAGACGGTATGATTTTAAGTGCCATTGATGATGTCATATGTCATATTTTCATTGCCATTGATGATGTCATATTTCCATTGCCATTGATTATGCCATTTTTCTCATCAATTATATTATTGTTGATGCTATTAAACTCTTGATGCCTCTTTTTGCAAAGTGCTTTCAATACCAAAAGTAACGTTTAAGATTTTGTACCATCATTCAAAATATATTCCTACCTACAGTATTAATTACTTTGAGAACATACAATTTGCAGTTTATTTTGTAAATATAAATGGTTTTGAAATCGTTTTTTTTTTCTGTTGCTGCAAAATGATCATTTTTATTGCAGTGTAATGTTTGAATTGTCACATTTCATTTAAACTGTATCTGACATTTTCTGTTGTGATGATTCTTTGTTCTGCATCCTACAGTATTTTGATTGATTTGTTCTAATTGGTTTACCAAGAAGGACAACTCTTGGGAGTTTCTTTCCATTTGAATTCTTCATTGCACTTTAAGCCCTCAAGATTTGATTTCCTTGATTTTATCAAACTTCACAGTGTTCTGTGATATGTGACTTTGCATTACATTCAAATATTGTTTGCTATAATAGGACTAGATATACAAGTTCTTGAAACTCAAAGTATATTCCTATGCCATAATTGTTGTAAAAGCAATTTATTGTTGAATTGTGTTTAGTAGATGGTAGATGCAAAATGGGTGTTGCATCTGTTTGATAAAATGAAGTTGACTGCAGACTTTACTTATTCTAAGCAATTGTTGAGTATTAATGGTTCAAATATACAAGTTTCATGTTTCTTGAGACTTACCGTGTATTTTCCATGCATAATTTCATGAGGCAGTGTATTTTAGAATTATGTTCAGTCTCACAGTTAACTAAGTTTGTGGTGATTAATCACTTAGCTTACACAGTGCTATCAAGTTATGTCTTTTGATATGATGTTTATATTTGCCAATGTTTAATGCACTCAAGATGTAAAAGGTCATATGGTAATTTCTTAAAAGTCAAAAAAGATGTTCCATGTTACAATAACCGTCTTTGCATTCAAGTTGCCATTGAAGTTTGATATTGTTCTCAGTGAAGATTTGTTATAGTTCACTTAGTCTAGTTATGTTTCCAGTCGGTCTAGTCAGTATCTAGTCTTGCATCTTTCTACATGATATAATCTTGACAAATATATTTACTTTGGATCTAACATTTGCTAATGAGTAAAGGTTAGTCGTTGAGATGTCTGCCAGTATGTTGATCTGTCCTTGGTTTGGCCAGCCTTGGACGTTAATGCAGTGCATGTCTGTTTATGGCTGACATGTCAGATGACATTCATTTTCTCATTTCTGCAATATTTTTGGCTTTTCAATTCGTACCATTTATCTATGCTTTTGAACGACTGCTTGTATGCCTAATTGCGATGTGTCATCAGAATCTACTCACTGATTGGAAAATTGGCTGTTCAATTTTGTTTTCAGGGGGGTGTGATATTCCTGGATGTAGTGGGTAGAGTCTGTTGAACATCGAAAATTAGTGTTTTAAAACCTTAGTTCGATTAAATGTTAGGAACAAAGAACTATAAATTTTGGGACATTATTTTGTGTGCAAGTTGGCAATCAAGTGTAGCCGTGGTGGAAAACAAAATAAAAAGATCAATGAAACTTTAAAAGACTTTTAATATAATTCCCCCCAATTACTTAGAAACACAACACTTTTACCCGTTAACATTGAACACGAATGCACTGCTTTATTGCATTTGCCATTGTTTTTGATAATGCACAGATGTACTATGTTAACTAATGAATAAATATTGCTTTTATATATCTTTGGTATATCTTTTGTTTTAAAATATTCAAATCCTTCCAAAGGACCCATGCATGTCCATCACTTTACAAAATATTGTTTTTACGGCGCAGCTTATCAGAGCTGATCTGTGATACTAAAGCTCTAAGGCCAAGAGAACCCGTGACGCAAGACATTGTTTTGGATGGACCTGTTGTGAGTTTTGGGAGGTTTGGTGAGTGATCAGGATTAACTCCAAACATCATTTGCGGTGTTCAGATTTAAAATACCTGTGTTTCTAATCATGTTTTTTCCCGCTTTAGAGAATTGTTGAAAGGTAGGGAATGCATTCACATTTTATTTTCAATTATCCAACAGTGACGTTTTTGATAATTGGCCTATACATTGGTGTATGTAGACGGTCGATCATACTGTGCGCATAATATAAAGGCTGACCTTTACTGCTGACAAAGGACGCTGGGGTCAGTAAAGTAATGGTCAACAGTTATTACAATAACTCTCATTCATCGAACACTTTCATTGTTTCGACCGTAGCCACGTAATGGTAAATAAATACACGTACAGAAAAGATGTACAAACTGTGCAGATAATTTTTTATTATTCATTCAAAAGCTATGATTTACAATTTAATGAAATCAATCAGCTGTTTAGTCCAGGAAAGTGTTTGCCTTTTGAGTGAAGTAACCATATTAGCACATTAACTGAAAAAAATAATACATAGAAAAGTTGAAATTTATATTGAACGATACGTGAAAAAAATCCTGCACTGAAAAATAGGAAAATGCTACACACATATTTTTTCAGAAAAATGTTAAAAGCTACATGTATATCTTATGCGGAACAGTTGTAAAATGTACATTTATGTTCATTGCGGAACGGAAGGACAAAAGGAAAATCCTACATGAATATAAAACTATATATCAATGACAAAAAATGCGAAAATACCTTTTTGGTTTACAACACCAGCATTCCCCACATTCTGGATATTTTGCATTATCCCCTTGTGTCCACGTATAGCCTAAGACACTTTCACAATATTTCTTTTCATCCTCTGGTGCGCGATTTGATCCCATTGCCTTGTCGTCTTCTTCAGTCCACTTGTGGCATACTAAAACTATAAAGGACAAATCCTCCCAGAAAAAATAAACTGACATGTTTGATCCATTTCGATTTGATATTAGATTAACAATCAATAACGCGCGTCATGCAGATTATAGAGTGGTAATAAGACAATGTGGTGCAAAGGGAGGTTACCTGTTACTGCGTTTAGATGATTATTTGATGAAAAAATTATGGTAATTAACGACAGTTGAATTTAGAGTTAGTTATTTATCTGTAGAATAGCAAGATGATGCATCTGAAAACATATCATAGGTCAATATACCTTGTGGTTGACAACATGAGCATCCCCCACATTTAGAATAATCTGGTGAATACGTATATCCTAAGACATCTTCGCATTGTTTTCTTTCAGTCTCTGTTGTACGACTTGGAACCATCGCTTTGATGTCTTCTTCAGTCCAGCGGTAGCATACCAGTACTGAAAATGGTGATTATTGCGGAAAAATAAAAAACAAATGGCAAGTTAATTGAAAATTACATGCTTTGCATGTCTGAAGAAGTTTATAAGAGACAATGCTTGTCTTACATAATATAATTTACAGCGTTTAATTCATGTAATTACTTATGAATGCAAAATGTTATGCTTATTATGCCAATTATTATGCTAATCAATTATCACTAAGTTATTACGGATAATACGTACCAGCTTTAGCGGAATCCACCAATAAAAAGACTGAAATAACACTGATTAAAACTAGGCGCATCATTATTCAAAACCTTATCTAAAATAGATAAAAACATAAAAATGATTTACAGTCAACATATTGTAGAAGAGATTGGTAAAACGTGTATTTCAGCGGAATAACTGCTCAGTGGGAAAATAAAATACATTAGGACTTGTGTCCGTTACCAATATTATGATGCACTGTATTGGTAGAGGACGTGTATGCTCCCATATAAAAGCTATGACTATAACATGATAAAAGCAGATTTTCGTTAAGATACTTGCATTGAAGGTAAATTATACCTTAGAATTCTACATTATTTACCTCTTTTTGAAATATCAAGCATGTGTAAGAAAAACGTTTAATTAATGCCTTTACAACATGTATGTTAGATGTTAAACAACTGAAAAGTAACGCTAAATTGGATTAACTGTGTTGTTAATGTAGCAAATTGTAAATATAGTAATATTTGAACTTCCATGCAAAAAAAGGAAATCACTATTATTTCATAAACCTCCAAAGGATGAAAAGGCAAAAGAAAGTTCATCTTTTAGTTGAAATGCTTAAAGCATTACTGTCATCAAAGGAACTTGAAATTTTATCAATAATAACAATGGCGTCCATCTTTTTCAAATTGCACAAGCCTATATATAAAAAGGGATGGGAAATCCTATAGAAAATCTGAATACACTGGTAGGTCCTTAATATTTAAATCTAATATGTAACTATATTTACCTCAAGACATACTGTTAGTTTTAAACTTTACATGTTTACATCATAACACAATGTACGAACAAAACCGAAACACGTGCGTTTCCATAAATTAATATGATAGTATCTCATATTCGTATTTAGCTTTTAAACCTCATTTATACCATTTGTTAAGGGTTCATTATGCCTTAAATTGCGAATGCTTTTCAAAATCTCTTTTTTAATACTCTGTTACATATTTTTTAAAGGTTATTTTTTGTTATTTTTAATTATTATTTTTATTTTTTTTATTCATTCATTTATTTATTTATTCATTTATTTATGTTTTATATTTGAAATTTTACAATAAGAACAATTATACTGATTGAGTATTTTGTATGGAAGTAAAGATACTATTTCGTTAACGTTTAAACACCTTTATCACACATTTTTCATTCATCGCTTCTTCAGGTGTTAAACATCTTAAAAGTTTTACATCTATTGCTTCAACATTTTGAAACACATATTTGCTCTTTCGACAGAAAAATATCTGTTCAGTTAAGCTCACCAGTCAACGCTGAACGGTTACCAAAGTCCTATTTATTAAAGTAAGATATAGAAATAATTTTGTAAAAAAGTAATTTCAGTTCAAAGTGATCAGTCAAAACTTGAAGAAACAAGTAATATGCAAACAACAAATAAATAAAAAATACATAAATGTACATACCTTATTACTTTGTTTCTTTCGTTGTAATTAGGAATTATTTCCTAAAATGTTGATTTTGTATATCCACTATCCGGGTATTTATAGGAAAGGAAACACAATCAGCATATGCAATTGCAGCTTTCATGTGGCTTTGATCTTCATTATGTTTCAATAAACAAAGGGACAGTGAAACAACAGATTGTAAATAATGAATGATATCGCTTTATTTGCATCATTAAATAAAAGCGAGTCGCAATAAACACGTTTCCATAATCACATTTATTCTATATTTTGAAGCGTGGGCAACATGGCGAATAGCGAATGACGGAATTTTTTCTTTGACTAAATGCTGCTGCTATGACTTTTCTGTTATAGCTACACTTGCATGTTTAATATGTTTGTTTGTTTATTTGTTTGGTTGGTTGGTTGGCTGGTGGGCTGGTTGGTTGGTATTTAGTTGGTTGGTTGGTTAGGGTTGGTTGGTTAGTTGTTTGTTTTTTACGCCAATCTTACATAGATATTTGTCTCAGCGTTCGATCAACCTAACCGACTTTTAAAGTTAACAATTTAAACTACTAATCAAATATAATTTCCGACTCATCGATGAGAGACAAAGTGCCATAAGACTCAATTTCCAAGATCAGTTGCCATGGAATAATTACTCCTCATCCAAGGATCGAACTAGCCATCCTGCATTTCGTATAAATCTGGTCCTCTCCCTAGTGAGCTACGTGGGCGATTATGTAAAATATAAACATGTTTACAACAATGAATTTTCTATTTTGATATATTAGAATGGGAAACATCTTGCAGATAACTTTCAAGTGTGTATGATTCGTGATTTATATCACACAGATTTGATAAATCTTACTGCTGTATATATAAAGTACTTTTTGAAGGTGAATCAGCTAGTTGTTACTCATTGTGCATGTATGAAACATGTTATTTATCAATCAGATTTGTACCCAAAAACTGACAAGATGAAAATCTCAGTTTTGCAAATTCTGTTGCATCATGTTAGTTGAGATTTGGTGTAACAATACTCACTGGACTGTAGTGATTGTAGATATCATTATTTGCATTCGTTCTTTTCTATTTCTTATCCCTTAGCAATGTGTGATTATGTACGGAGATAATTTATCTGAAAATACTATAGAGCTACCCACATGGACTGATAAAATAAAACCGATTTCTTTCCTATATTTCATTTATTTCATCTATCGCATCCATGGCTTTATTTTGTGGACACCGCAAGACCTGTTTAACACCAGTACTAGCGCAGAAACAACGCTAAAATTATGAGCCTTTGGATTTTTAAATTATATATTCTGTACCTTCTTATATGTGCAATCCCTATAAGATTATCCAACTTACAACAGGTATGTATTTTTGAGCATAGCGTTTCCTAAAACCTTCCACCCAGAAAAATGAAGCATTGCAAATATTCAAAGAAAGAAAGAAAGCTTAGAAATGACACTTTACAGTCGTCCTGTAGCATTTAGCGCATGTTATTTTGAGAGCTCTGAAGGAGTTGGGTTGGAATTTGTGAAAACTTAATTAAAAATCGTAATGAAAGGTTTCATTTTCTTTAGGTTATTTTGTACTGATAATTTTTACGTAATTTTAAAATATGTATTGACAAGAAAATAGTAGTGCAACACGGTCTTGAACAAAAATATATTTTAACGGAGAGCTTTTGTCGGTTCTTGTCGGTAAATAGGAAGACGGTCATACGTTTATCTCAAATGATCGTTCTGTCCTTGACTTGGGAGTAGGATTTTCACGATTTTCGATTGGAAGAAGCTGTTTATGAATTGTCTCCCTTGAAATTATTATTCATAGCATAAATTTCGGATATGATAATTATGTTCT